AAACGTCAGCTTTCCTGCTCCTCTGATGCTGCCTGGCCTGCTGTGCTCCTCTAGCTCCACACTGTGTTATCTCTGACTCCAGCATCAGCAGTTCTTACTATCTCGGAGGTGGTAGAAACAGTTTGGTTGGAGTTGAAGAATAGTTGGGAGGTATCTACAGGTAACCTACCAGTAGCTATGGTATAGGAAATAATATACAAGAAGAAATATTGGGTACTTTGAGAGATAATAATGGCAATAATTAATGGGTGATTTCAATCTCTATATGAACTGTAAAATTCAAATTAGTAATTGTAGCTTGGATGAGGAGTTCATAGAAAGCTTTAACTTAGTTTCTTAGAGTAGCATGTTCTGGAACTGAGCAGAGAGCAAATTATTTTAGACTTGCAATCGTGTAATACGGCAGGATTAATTAATAACCTCAGAGTAAAGGCACCTTTGGGTACCAGTGATTGTATTATGATTGAAGTTAAAATCTAATTTGAAAGTGAAAGGTGGCTCTAAAAATAATATTTTTAAGCCTAAATAAGGGCAACTATGCGGGTGTGAAAGCTGAGCTAGATGAAGTGAACTGAGATATTGGACTGGCAGACAGATCAGTAGAGATTTAAAGGAAGAAGCACTTCCCCACTTATTTGGTGCTTAAGGAAAAATCCAAGCAGTGGATCCATGATCTGTGGTTAACTAAAGTAGCTGAGGAGAACATCACAACACAAATCATAACCCTGGACCATTAAATGATATTCTGAACTGTGAATGGCAACTTATTTTTTGAAAGGTGGATTGATACAGACCAGATGACTGAGGATATAACTTCATTGGCTGTGTGGAGAGGAATTAAGAGGCCATAAGATGCAGAAGCAGAAGGTCAGCTTTTAGCCCACCAGGGCTGCACTGCCATTAGGTGAGATCCGGCTGATGTGATAATCCTCAACTCCTATTTCCTGTCTTTTGCCTATAACCCTTCATCTCCTCGCTGATCTAAAATGTTTATCTCATCCTTGAGTATACTTAATGACCCAGCCTCAACAGCCCTCTACAGTCAAGAATTCCACAGATTCACAACAGAAAAAAAGATTTCATCATTTTATTTTGAATGAACAGCCCCTTATTTTGAGATTATGCCCTCTTTCCTCACAGTGGGGGAAAAAGGACTCAGCATCCACCCAGTCAAGCCTAAGAATCTTAGATGTTTCAATCTCAGAATCCTTACAGTGTGGAAGTCGGCCATTCAGCCCATCAAGTCCACCCCACCCTACCCAGACTACTCCTTACCCTATACCTGCAACGCCGATCCACCTAACCTTCCACATCTTTGGACAGTGGGAGGAAACCAGAGCACCCAGAGAAGACCCACGTAGACATGGGGAGAATGTGAAAACTCCACACAGACAGTTGGATGAGGCTGGAATCAAACCCAGGTCCCCGGCACCATGAGGCAGCAGTGCTAACTACTCTGCCACCTTGTCGCCTGTTCTGCTCCTCTGATGCTGCTTGGCCTGCTGTGTTCATCCAGCTCGACACCTTGTTATCTCAAATAAGGCTGCCACTCTTTTGGTGTATGAATCCAAGCGTTCTCTGCCTCAGGTGGTAGTGGAGGGAGAGGAATATATTTAAGACAGATATGAAAAGGTTCTTGTTAGATAAGGGAATCAAGAGTTGTTGGGGAGAGATGGGTACGTGGGATTCAGACCACAAGCAGAACAGCTTACTGAATGACAAGCATGCTTAAAAAGGGCCAAATGACATACTTCTACTCTGCATATGACTCTGTATAGAGTTAATTGGCTTGTGAATTTAAAAAAAGGTCCATTAGATGCCTTATTCTCACCCAACACATGTCTCTGTTTATGCCTGCATTCTGTAAAGCTCTTTAAGCATCTGTTTGTCTACAAAATCCTAGAGAAGTGTTGGACCAGAAAGACTAAATGCCACACTTCGCTGACCTACTGCCAAAAGTAAATTGAACTATATAATGTACTGGAAGCCATAATATATTCACAACAAAATTAAAGCAATTTATTATCCATGGAGGATCAGCCCTAGGTTTTTGGCAGCAAAGTATAATTCCACAAGGCCCAGCCTACATTTTGATGAACTGCACCCTCATGATATTACAGGCTTGGCAAGGAATGCATTTATATGCATAGTTAGAATGGCTAGGGAATAAGCAAATGCAAACATTTTTAACAATTAGTTGGGAAATAAACAATTGCACAAAGATTAACTAGAAAAACACCTACCTATATCAAGAGGTTCCTGTGGGGAAAAAAGCAGAAATATTTGTTTTAGTCACTTCACCTTCATATTTCACATTTCAAATAAAGGTAACAGACATTGATAATAAAGCTTTTTTTTAAACCAATTATGTCACATTTATGAATGTATTTATGTGTATTAAAAGATGTAAGATGGGGTAAAGCTCTTTATCGTCTCACTCAATATGTTCAGGGCATAATAAGGCATCCTGCACACCTCAATCCACTAAAGAGGAAACCCTTGGAGTTACAGTGAATGGTTTGATTCTACAAAACAGATATCTATACCTTCAATATCCCGCTTCAAAACATTAACTTTAGAATCCTCATAGTTCTCACACGTGCGGGACTTAAAAGGAAGATTCCCTGGATCTAAGCCCCGACTTTTAGAGGTTGTATTTGACCACTATGACTGGTTCCTAATGCTACTGAGAAACACTGGTTGAGAAGGTTTAAATAGAATCACTCAAATTGTAACGCACTGCACACAGTCTCTTGTCGAACAGGATGTGTGATTTGCAGAACAGAATTATTTCCTGGAAAAAGACTTTTTTCTCTCTCTTCCAGAACTAAAAACACAAAACAAACCCAAACCAGTGACTCCTCGTGGAAAAGGTGCAGTTGTTTGGGCAGGTCAACACTGTTTTCCTCTGTTATTGTCATGGTATTTAAATAGATTTCCAACACTCATTGAAATGCTTTTATTGCACACACATTAGACAATTCGGTGAAATGTTTATGAGTCAACGCCTTCAGCAGACTAAGTAAAAAGAAGAAAAATGTGAAAATTTAGGAGAAAATAAAGAACACAGATGACTCAGCCAACTGAGATGGTGAGTAGCTGAAATTTAAATAAGAGGCAGGAATGAGAAAAGCACATACAACCCATTGACATTCATCCAGAAACATAACCATTTCAGCCAGAGATCCAACTGCATTTGAATTCTCTCCTTAATAGTGCCAATCCAAATTAGCAGATTACACCAAAATTGCATTACTCTTAGACTTCAGTATGACTGATGAAGAGTGGTCATATCACAATAAAAATGTTAAGTGTTTCTCACTCCATGAATGATGCCTGACAAACCCAGTTTCTCCAGCATTCTCGGCTTTAATATTTTGATAATAAATCAGGTTTGAATCTTACCTAGGCAGCTAGTGGAACTTCAGTTTAATTCATAAATCCGGAATATCATGTTAGTCTCAGTAATGGTGACCATAACAACAATAAGTCAATTCTTGTAAAACCCATTTTGTTCACTAATGCTCTTTGGGGAGGGAAATCAGCCATCCTTTCCTGGTCTGGCCTACATGCAACTCAAAACTCACAACAACGTGATTAGTCATGCACACTCAATGAAACTGCCTAGTGAGTCACTCAGTTGTATCAAACTGCTACAAAGTTTGATAAAAGGAACAAAACTGGAGAGATCTCAGCATCAACCAAAGGCACTGGAAATGACAAAGGTACATACACAGCCCTGTTGACCCTCGAAAGCCCACCATACTAACAGCTGGGGGCTTGTGTCAAAATTTGGGAGATTTGGCCAAAAGATTTGTCAAGCAGCAACTATATGGTATGGTTCCATGAACACGTCCCGGAGGTGGAGACTGCAGTGGTGTGCAGTTGGGAGGGGCTTGCCCTGGAAGTACTCAACATTGACTCCAGACCCCACAAAGATTCTTGGAACTAGGTCAAATGTAGGAAAGGAAACTTCCTGTCGAATACGACCTACCAGGCACTAACACCCTTCCCCTCCTTATGAGGCAAAAGGCTGGTAAAAATCAATTTTCCATTATGTGGAACAGCAATGGAAGCAGCATTGAAGATGACAAGGGCAGACAATGTACTCTGGGTGGGACTTTAATGTCCATCACTAGGAGCAGCTTAGCAGAATAACTACAGATTGAACTTGCTAAAGGTCATAGCTGCTGGACTGAGCTTGCGGATCAACAAGAGGGACCTCGGCCTTATCAATCTACCTGTAACAAACGCATCTGTCCATCACACAAACCACATGGGCCATCAGCAGCAGAATTGTATTCAACCACAAGGTTCTGCATTTACCTCAATCTCCCATTCATATCAAGCCAGGGACCAACCCTGATTCAAAGAGGAGTGCAGGAGGGTACACCAGGAGCAGCACAAGGCATATGTAAAATGAGATGCCAAACTGGTGAAGCTACACAGGAGCCAAACAACATGGGAAGCCCAGGGCAGGTTGTCGGTTTTCGTCACTCGTAGGAACTTGACGCTCTCAAACTTCTCAACCTCTGCTCTGTTGATGTAGATGAGGGGAGCACAGGAGGGTCTGAGAATGCATCTTTGGCGGGGGAGGGCGTCCAGTATTCAGTGTTGTCTGTCTTCACTGATTGTGGTGTATGGGTCAGGAAGCTGAGGATCCAGTTGCAGAGTGGGGAGCTGAGACCTGGGTCTTGGAGTTTTGAGATCAGTCTAGAGGGGATAGTGGTGTTGAAGGTGGAGCTGCAGTCAATGAGTGGGAGATATGAGTAGGTATCTTTTTGTTGTCCAGATGTTCCAGGGATGAGTGCAGGGCTAGGGAAATGGCATTCACTGTGGACCTGTTGCATCAGTGGGCAAATTGCCAGAAAAGAAGTCTCCAAAAGCAGCATCCAGCTTTATCTGATGACAGGAGGTGTGTGATTCCTGCAAATAGCTGCCTCCTCATCAGTACTGCCTGTGGCAGGAGGGTGGGGTAGAAACTCGTGGGTGTCCCACAGAGTCAGAAATGGCAAGAGGGCCCAAATTGTGCCTCTTGGATCGTCAACCACCAGAACCAGGTCTGCTCAAAACCTGCAAAGGATAGTGAGGCAGCACTAAGTTGACAGCATCATCCACCATTTGATTTTGGTTGCGCTATAATTCTGTTTTTTTTTGCAAAGGGATAAGTAGCAACACAAAGAGTAACACAACTAACTCAAAGTGAGAAAAGGACCTGCAGGTTAAAACGTTACGACCATTAGAATAATTAACACAGGCTCTCGGCGGGCTACCGTGTGACAGAATAGATTAGGCTGTTCATTACAAGGCCAAATAGTTGTTCATTACTGGAACATAATCATTGTGGTTAACGTTAATTTGCTCTTTACTGTAAGCTGAGCCCAGCGAATATGAAGGGTTTTAACTCCCAGTAACCACAGACAAAAATCAGGTCAATTTAAACTGCAGCAAATCACTTTCTGACAAGTGTATCAGAGAGTAACAGTTGGGTGACATGACACTGATCCTGTTGGTGAATGGTAATATTAAGAAGCATAACATAAGCCTATAGAATCACAGAATAATTAGAGCACGGCAAGAGGCCATTCAACTGGTTGTGTGTGCTGGCTCTGCACATGAACAACTTGCCCTGTGTTAGCATCACCTCCGCTTCACAACTTTCCTATAACCCTGCAAATTTTCTCATTTTGATTAATTATCCAAGTCCCTTTTGAAAAAGCTGAATTGCCTCCACCGCAATGCATTCCTGGAAAGCCTAGAAACCTAGAGAGTGCTCCTTGATGCAAGGCAAGTGGTGAGGTGATCCTCATCAGGGGACAGTTGAAGTCATTAGGTAGATGCCAATCTTCTGCCCAGAATTGAAGAGTTTAAAATAGTACAGGTCATGAACATGTCAGGAACGCCTGGGCACCATGTTAACCACCTGCCTGTCAGCATGGCCCCAATTCTCGGCTCGGCTGTTGAACACTGAGAGCTGTCATTGAGAAGGAGAATGGTTGATGTACAAGTGAAAGGCAGGGGAGGATGCGACAAAGCACCTGTTAAGCATTGGATGTTCATTGACATTAGACAATCTGAACTTTAACTATGAAGTATGCATCAATCTCCTTAACTGGCAAGTTGCTCATGCTCCAGAAAATCTGCATTGGAAAAGTTAAGTTCAACAGAATGTTCAAATCAATTGAACATACAGACACACACTGCTACATTAATTTCTCTCCCAGGTACAATACTGATCATGCTGACTCTAGCAAACAGACAAACCTCAGAGACCAGATCTACTTTTACTTCACACCTGATCACAATTCCTTCATTCTTGACTGTTAAATTTCTGCCCTAATTTTCAAAGCTCTCCATCATTTGGAGTTCATTTTGAGTCAGTTCTGAACTTGCTTTAAACTAACTTATAAATTGCTTCATTATCCTTCCACCACGTGCCTGTTCACAATGGATTATCACCATCTATTTTGCATTCATAACTCTCCTGTACTAGCATTCCCTTTGTCTTTAGCTCTGGGCACCTTCACCATCTGTTTTACTTGCTCCTTGACCCGCTTTGTCAACAGCATTAAAGCCATAATTTTCCAGCCTCCATCAATTCCAAACTAGCAGCAGGTTGGAAATAAAACATCAGCTCTGTAGAGAGAGGAACAGAGGTTGTCAAAAGGTTGTCGTAGAATTAGCAGGAATAGGCCATTTAGCCCAACTGGTCTGTGCCAGCATTAATGTTGCAAGTGAACCTCTATTCACTCTACACAAAGACAGAAGCTACTGGAAATGCTCAGCAGGTCTGGCAACATCTGTGAAGAAAAGATCAGAGTTAACGTTTCGGCTCCTGTGACCCTTCCTCAGCACGCTAACAACGTTAACTGATTTTTTCTTCACAGATGCTGCCAGACCTGCTGAGCTTTTCCAGCAACTTCTGTTTTTATTCCTGATTTACAGCATCTGCAGTTCTTTTGGTTTTTATTCTCCATTTACTCGACTTCGTCCACACCTATCAGCATTTTCTCTCATTTCTTTCCGCTTCACATACTTATCTAGCTTCAAATCACTTGCTTGTTGTTGCATTCCTTTCGTGCAAAAGTAATTAAACATATTTCTGTTTTTCTTAGGGTATTTGTTTATTGGTGCATTAAGAAATCAAATCTAAGCTTGAGATTTTGATTTTATTTCTTCCATCTGTGAATAAGTGTCTTTGGCAAGACCAGCAATTAATTGCCCATCTCTCTTTGTTGGATGAAGCTGGTGGTGTAGTC